TAAGAAGACCCCCCCCCCCCCCAATGCATGTCTCAAAACTGTCCTCTTGGAACCATTTTCTGTCCCCTCCCCAGGCACAGAGATGGGGAGGGCTGGACCGAACTATTTAAGGTCACCGGCGGGAAGTATTACAAAGTGCCCTTGATATACTGACATTCTGCTGACAATTTCCCGGGAGAAGACCCTCTTTTCTCAGTAGCAACAACGCAATCTTGCCCGGGGTGTCGCGCTGTTTGGCCGCTCATTGAACTAGGGATGTGCTCCATTGTATACAGCGGGTCTTACACCCGAGTAAACATGTCCCGAGGGCCTCCCCCTCCTAAATCTGTGCGCGCAGGCAGGAAGGGGACAGCAATGCAGGCGACCGATACGTCCCCGCTTCGCTCTCAGCCGCGGGTCTCCGGCGGGCCAGACCGGGCCAGGCCTCTCCCTCGCCTTCCCTCCTAGGCTCGGCCGGGGAGCAGCCAGGGGCGGGGACGGGGGCGTCTCCGTCGCCCGGCAAGCGCCGCCCCTCGCCTCCGCTGCCGCCGCAGCTGGCTGGGCCATGGTGGAGCAAGCAGACGACGCGCCGCTCCTCTTCTGGGCCGAGGGCCCGGCGGTCTCTGTGCCGGAGGCGGTCGAGCCCAGCGGCTGGAAAGGCTCGCCATGGGGCAGCGGCGGCGGCGGCAAGAGGGAGCCGGGGGCGGCGGCGGCTGCTCTGGGCGGCACAGGCGGGCGCCTCCCGGAGCCGGACACCGAGCAGGTGGAGGAGGATCAGATCCTGGCGGTGTTTGTGGTTACCTTCGACCCCCGCACGGGTAAGAGCGCCACCGGCGCCGTCTCCCTCCTCTCCCCTGGGACGCGATGGAGGATGCGTCTCTCCCCCCTGCCTTCCAGAGAGCACCCTCCACTCGTCTCGGGCGAGAGATCTTTCCCCTTCGCAAATCGTTTCCTTTGCAGGAGCAAAACCCCTTTCTTTTTCTAGGGGTTGGTAGGAGCCGCGGTTTCTCTCCGGGAAGGTGGGAGCGGAAAGTGTTCTCTGACCATGTGCAGAATGCGCTTCCTTCCTTGTCCTTTAATGGCCGCAGCCTCCCCACACGTCAGATCCACTCCAGATCGGACCCAGCTGCTACCTGAACAGCAGGTTTAGGATGTGGCCTTCACCTGCCTCCTGATGTCCACGGATTCACCATGTGTAAACTTTCCTGGGGCACAAAGAAAGACCCCTTTCCTCTCTGGGAGGGGGTTTCTCCTAAAAGATGGTAGGTCAGGGGGGTGGGTGGGTGAACTTAGACCGTCTCCTCCTTTCAGAGGTGAGGGAAGTCACGGTTAGATGACTTGGCTTGTATGACCCTTGGATTGTATGCCCAGGCCTATGGGTATCATCCCAGAGAAGTCAGACGGTAATAATACCTGTACGTAGTTTCCCCCCCCCTTCTCCTTCCTGTAGTTCTTCTGCTGTCGCCTTGAATAATATTCTAGTGTTCATTCAGATACTTCCACAACAGGTGAAGACCTGGTGGGCATTTTGGTGCCTGAGGTGGGAGATAAAAAGGTGCTGCCTGCCATGCTGATTAAAGTGGGGTACAATCTGGTGGGACATTCTCCTGGGCATGCCTTTTGAAATGAATGAGAGCTGAGCAAGAACACTCTTCTCATTCCAAGGAGCTTTCTTGTGAGAGAAGGTCTTGGTGGATTTATGCCCATTCCTTGTGTCTTGTCGTTAAGTCTGTGGCCCCTTCATGGTAGCTAGCAGTTGCCACCTGAGTTGGTCACACAGGAATCAGACATGAAACTGTCTTATACTGAATCAGATCCTTGGTCTGTCAAGGTCAGTATTGCATACTCAAAACGAGCAGCGACTCTCCAGGGTCTCAGGTAGAGGTGTGTCACATCACCTACTACCATTTTAACTGGAGAGGCTGTGGGTTGAATCTGGGATCTTCTGCATGCCAAGAAGATGCTCTGCCACTGAGTCACACTCCCTCACCTCATACTAAAGCTACCGTACCTTATCTCATATTAAAGCTACTTCTGTTCTAATGGTATTTATGGTATCCTCTGGTTTAGTTTAGGTGTAGACAACCTTACTGGTCTGAATGCCAGAAATACCGCAGTCCGTACTTGTGAAGATACTGGTGTTCCAGCCAACAATGGGGTGTATACATAAAAAGAGAGTTATTCTTGGCCAGATACACTAGGGCCCCGGTCACACGGGCCGGATATCGCGGGGGGGAGGCGTGGCTAATTGCCCCGGCGCAGTTTGATCCGCGATTACGCGATCAGACGCGCCGGCGGCACACCACAGGTCCTTCCCTCGGCGCCAGCGGGTAAACGAGGGTGGCGATCACACGACAATCCTGCAGTGCGGCAAAGAAGCGGAGCGATCACACCAACAATGGCTAGGCGCCGCTGCCGTGACAAACTGGGTTCATTTTTTTTAAAGCTGAAACGGCGCTTTCGCTTTCCTCTTTGTGCGCATGTGCCGTTGGGTGCTTGTGCACATCTTGTGGAGACTTGGGGGGGGAAAAACCTGTTTGCGAAGGGACATGGGCGGGTGCCGGATGCCACCACCGGAAACGCGATCAGGCGCCCGCCCTTGCCCCGCGGTTTCCGGAAACTAGTACCTCGGAGGTACTAGTTTTTTACACCGCATCTTCAGCGGGAAGCCTCGGGTTCGCCACGGGAGCTCTACGCTTCCCAGATGTTGCGGTGTGATCGCGCCCGGAAAATCCGCCTATCTTCCGGCTCTGTAGCGTGGCTAATGCTCCGTGTGACCGCAGCCTAGGAGTGAGCCGAGGCCTAGTGGCACGACCAGGACTTCAAGAGGCCCTTCTCAGTCCCTAAGGCAGGGAACTGGCCTTGTACCCTGTATGAAATCATCTGGGGTGCCCACAGTTCAGCTCTCTTGCATTGCCCTCCCCAGACTCAGAATCAGGGGAGTGTGTTTACCGCCAATGTTCCCTCTAATTTCCCCCCCTACTGAGTGGAGCAGTTCAAAATCCTGAGCAGAATATAACTGCTGTAATCTTACAAAAGGCACTGGGCAGTGCAAGGCCCTGCACAACTCCAGATTGCTGCTGAGTGGGTCTTCCTGTGTTAATGAGCAGGTGCTCGCGAGCACATCTTAGAAGGAACACTGCCTGTACCCTCCAAGAAATTCCCCAGAATTCCCCAGAATGCTTCAATGATGACAGGTTGGGAGGGGCAAAAGGAAGAGGAGCGTTATGCTGAGGGCAGACGTTCGTGTACTGGACCGATGGTAGCCCCTTGGAATTTTAATGATCATTATTTTTGTCAGGGGGTTGGAACCTATCTTGGTAGCTACTGTGCTGAGGGTCTGGGATAAGAAGCTTTTTCATTAAACAAGATCTCTCCTTCTATGCAAAGTTGTGTGGGGAGGGGCTTGGCTGTAATGTGTTGGTAGACTCATGGCTTCCTGACTTAGTAGAACTCTGCAGTTCAAAGTGGAAGTGTGTTGTCTTGAGCAAACAAATGTTACTTCAGATGTGGGAGACAGAGGCCATGAAGGTTCCTTCCACTGGCTTGTCCAGTTATGGGTTGTTGAGGCCCTAAGCCAGGTTCCCAGGAAAACATGTTTCTCCACCTTCCTTAGATGGTGTCCTGTGATGCAACTACAGGGCGAATGTTGCCAGTGAGAAAGGGCATGCATGCAATCTTCCTTCCACAACAGGTCTGGGTTGTAGGTGTCCCTACTTCCCTTGTGTGGTTTCCTTTACAATTTGTATCTCTCCCCCCCCCCCAGCCAGTTGCATTAATGTGTGAGTGGCTTTCTACAGAATTTGGTCTTCATTTGCCTGTTGCAGCATGCCCTTTGGAAATATGTGTGCGGCCAATGGGTGGCCCAATGACACTGCTGAAGATGTACCTGAAATGAGTGGCTAGATTCGAGTCCAGTAGCACCTTAAAGGTAAAGGTAAAGGTTCCCTTGCTCGAAAGCCAGTCGAATCCGACTCTAGGGTTGCGGTGCTCATCTCCGTTTCAAAGCCGAAGAGCCAGCGCTGTCCGAAGACGTTTCCGTGGTCATGTGGCCGGCATAACTAAACACCAAGGTGCACGGAACGCTGTTACCTTCCCACCGAAGTGGTACCTATTTATCTACTTGTAATTTCTTGCTTTCGAACTGCTAGGTTGGCAGGAAGTAGCACTCTAGAGACCAAGATATTTTGTGTATAAGCTTTTGTGAGTCAAAGCTCCCTTCATCTGAAATAAGCTGCTTACCCAAGGGGCAATCTTACACATGCTCCTGTAGAGATGTCCCACCGAATATAGTAGGGGTCAGGAGTTCTCTGCTTTCATTGCTTTCAAATTTGTATAGAGTCATTTTGTGTTTCACCTACTAGCATTCCCTCATGACTTTGTTTGCAAGTACCTTATTTCTTGCCTGGACCTAATCTTAGATTCTGCTGTAATAATGGCTCGCTTCCCTGCTGAGAGGTACCCAGACAACAGGCATGTGTTCGGCTTAATTGTGTTCACTTGTATGGCTTCCTGGCCCTCCAAAGCTTGATAATCCTTTTGCTTCGATAGCACGTCATCTCAGGCTCTTAAACACAGTGCGGATTCTTGAGGTTCAAAGCCTGTCTGGGTTGGTCATGAAGTCTGTATTGAGCAGGTATACAATAACTACTTTTTTGGCCTCAGCAGGTTGCTTCATATTTTTTCTGTTGTGCGATTGTAGGGGTGGTGTTGGGTTTGGGCGCACACAGGTCCTTTCAGGAGGCAAAGGCAATGCTGAGCTTGGTATTCTGTGAAGAAGCAGCCACTTATATACACATATACACACACATCAGATTTTTTATATATACACAGCTGCATGGAAATAGAACTTGGAGTTTGTTTCAGCTGATAGCGATGACTATGCCATTCTGGGGGTTTCTACCATGGGGTATTCTGGTTATTTGTATTTAAAGAATAACACTGTACTTTTTCTTCAGGGTGCAGGATGAGGGAGAGGGGATTGTCAGCGTATATGAAGCGCCAATAATAACACAATCCAGAGTTGGCTAGTGCTGAACTATTTACAGTGGTTTATTTACAGCAACTATATACATACAGTCTTTTAGCACTTGTAGCATCCAATTCACCAGGCTTACTGACAAAGTGCTTCGCATAGCATTCAATCCACAAGAGTGAACAATAACATACAGACTGTACCCAATATATACATCTGAGCACCAATCAGAACGAAGGATGATGCAATCTTAGGACCTGGTGACATGTCACATGACACACTAACTGTCACCTCAGATCAAGATGATCTAATAGACTATTTCTTGACTTGGCTGTCATCTTGCCTGTCATATCTTATTGTATGCCATCAGGCATCACATTGTTGGATGCGCCCTGTGTTAAAAACTTTATGCAAACTGACAGGTGAAGGGCTGAGGTAGATCCTTTATCCTTCATGTGCTGCTTTGGTTTTTTAAATCCCTTCCCGGTCCTTCCAGCCCCCCCCGGCCCGCTCACCTTGGAGTTGCCGGGAGGGGTCACTCTCCAGGCCTTCCCTTCATAGCCACGCATGGAGAGGTTTTGGCTGTAGTGGG